GTAAAGATCTGGGGATTTGGAATTACTCTGTTTGTTTTTTGTTTTACTGCTTTTAGTCATATAGGTGAATTCAACTGGGGTAAAATCTTACACTTTTGAGTTCAGATCTCTCGGCTTCGTATAAAAGAACATGAATTATTTTTCATGGAAGGGTTTAGTTTTGATTTGATCTTTAAACAATTAGAATCTATGATTTTTTGCGTTGTACCTCAGCTGAATTTGAAGTGGTTGTTTCATTTAGTGTTTATCAGTTAGCAATGCTGATCACGACTAGGTTTTAGGATGCTTAATAAATTTAAGCTGAACACTTTGCATTTCTTATTTTAATAACAAAACTAAGCATGGACTGTTGTCACCATTAGTTTTCTGAAAGCTGCTTACCGTTATCTGTTACCTTGATTGTTGTTTTATTTCCCGTGTGAATTTTTAGCTTCTTGAGGTGTTTTTCATGGTCTGAGATGTTGGTGCATATTAACGTGTTAGAGTTCGGTAGTATAAGGATTACAATTTCCTTAATATCTTGAGCTCTCGAGAGACTACAGTTCAATGCAAGAACTTTTTGTTCTCATGAATATTTTTTATTTTAACATGCTCATAAATGGATATTATATTGGCCCCTTCCCTCAACCCCCAAAAAAATCTGGACTCCATTTATTCCTATAATTTTCTCAAGTTCTTTGGCTCGTTTTCGTACACATCTTTTTAGTTAAATATTTGTGCTCAACTAGCAATGTTTGATTTCCTGCTGGGTGAATTTTTTGCCTTAATGGATGCTTTTTGCTGAAGATATCGTGCAATCACAAGTGCCTACTATCGAGGAGCTGTTGGTGCATTGCTTGTGTATGATGTTACGCGTCATGTTACATTTGAAAATGTGGAGAGGTGGTTAAAGGAACTCAGGGATCACACAGATTCAAACATTGTTATCATGCTTGTTGGAAATAAGGCAGACTTGCGTCACTTGCGCGCTGTTTCTACAGAAGATGCAAAGGCATTTGCTGAAAGAGAAAACACATATTTCATGGAAACTTCTGCTCTGGAATCTATGAATGTGGAAAATGCCTTCACAGAAGTTCTTAGTCAAATATATCATGTCGTCAGCAGGAAAGCTCTCGAGGTCAGTGATGATCCAGCGGCTTTACCTAAGGGACAGACCATTAATGTTGGCTCTAAAGATGATGTTTCTGAGATAAAGAAAGTTGGCTGTTGCTCTGTTTAGAAAGAAATGCAACTCCATTTATTCTAATGTAATCTAATGTCCATGTGGCCGGGGATTTTCCCATTGAACCATCGACTACATGGATTGTTCATTTGTTTGAACCAAAACTTTATCCCTATAGTTGAAGATTTTGTTAATTGCAATACAAAAATTTGTCCAAATCAAGGGAAAGGGATCTCAATTACTTAAATCATTTTTTTTTTGTCCGTGTCTTCTTCATCCGCAGCTGCTTCAGTGTGTATTATCATAGTATTAGCTCCTTAGAAATCCCTTACATGAGTTTATATTTGATCTGTATATTTTCAAATTTACGCTTGTAGTCCTGTCCTTGTTCTCTCATTGTTTTTGAGTCTTTCACTTCAATGAAAAATGTATTCAATTTTCGCTACTGCTGGAAACTATGTTAAATCAAATTACCCGGCCTTCCTCTACTGTGTAGGCTCCTACTGGTACTTCTGCTATTTTTTTTTTAAAGGTTAGAGGATCACTTTTTCCAATGTTCAATTTCATAAATGTCCCCATTTAAGTATGAGTAATGTTATTCATGGAAAGTGGAGATGATCGCGGTCTGTGTGGCAATGGAGCAATTGTCATATTATTCATTAAAGATGAAACGCATTTTTCTTTGAACAATAATATTATTTGTTGTTATTGGTGACATCATCGTGTTTATTGTTTAGAAGACATTTAAGATAGGTCCAGTAATATTGGGTTGATGTCCCTACATTTAATTGAATCTGTCATTTATTATCATTGTATTGCCGCATGGGATGATGATGTCATTAATGATGATATAATGTTATTGTTTTTAATCACTTAAACATAGATGATCATCACCATCATCACTATAGATGAATATCGTTATTCTTTAACCATTGAATGATATGGGTATTTTGTCAACATGAATGCTTTTCCAAAATTTGACTAATGGGTTTTTAGGCAAATACGAAGATAGAAAATAAACAAAAGAAGAACAAGATATTCCTGAGGCTGAGATTGCATCAACTCAACTGAGGGGTCGAGTTGAAAAACGTTTTCAAGTTATTTTTATTTAAGCATCTGTTTTACACTCCAAATACAATTACACATTATGACCACAAGAAAACTAAAACCCACGACATATTAACCAACTTATTGCTACTACAAGAAAATATAAAACACAACCAGCCAAAATTTGAGCAGACTGGTTTTCTACACAGTTTTCAGGGCTTCTCAACTGTCCAGCTCTATCTTCCTTTCAAATTCTCTTCCAATTCCAGCATTCATTGCCTGTTTAACTTCCTTCACCAGACGAAATTCACGGACTAAAATAATATACCGATACAGTTTATGGAGAACTAGTTCTCAACGGTGGACCAAGAATTTGCAGCAATCCAATCAAAGGCAATAGGGCTCAAGAAAGCATCTGGTATGCCGAAAGAACTAACCAAGGCAAGTGCTTGTGGTCTGATTTCACTGCAAAGTTTTGCGACTTCTTTTCTTACAGCAGCAGCATTGTCTGTTGATAAGTACCCGTATCGGAGAAACGCAGCGTCTTCTTCAAGCGTGACCAGCACATTAAGCGATCTCAGAAGACCCAATATATTCTGCAAAATTGTGTGAATTTCTGTTAATCCACTGCTTTTAGTTTGTCCATGCTACTACCTAAGACTCTCATTCCGGTGAAATAGGCTGAGAAAAGCATGTGATTTTCTTATAGGCATTTGCTAAATAAAGCCTCGATGTAAGTGAAAAGTGTAGATACAACATGGATGAACCAATTTACAATGCAAGGGCGAAATTAACTCTTAAAAGACTCAAGTTTAGTTCTAAATTAGAACTAAATTTAAATCAAAGCAATATCCAGTACATAGTTTTTTATTAATTTATTTCGTGTCTTTCTTGGGGTGGGGCCGGGTGGGGGTGGGTGGGCAGTGTTGGTTGCATATCTTGGCCCCAAGAGCTCAAGGGAAGGCTGGGGAGAACCTTCGATTTGAGGACCGCTGAGTGAGATTTAGACCCTCGACCATTAAACCAACTCCTTACAGACATTGAAAGAAAAGTTTTCCACATACCTTAAGGGAGGCGTCTGTCACATTATTCTCTGCTTCTACAGCACTCTGCAAAATTGCACGGTCCGAGAATGCTATACCCAAATCTTCGGCAACCTGATAACTCTGCAGGAATACAATATATGTAAACAACAAAGAGCCTGAGACAGAGAGAACCTGGATGGGGGGTATGGAGGGACTCCAGCATTGCATCTTATAATTGAGAAGTGTTCTTACCACAATAAATGCAGACTCTTTACTTTCACCCTGTGCTTGGTATTGAGAGACTTCAGCAGCAAAGCGGTTTAATAAATCTCTTTCTCTTAGGCAGAAGATATCATTCTGTCACAGACCATTATAATTCCCTAAGAGATTCATAAGAAATGAATAAAGCAGAAACTCATCATTACCTGAAATTGAGTGCTCCTCAGGGTCGAACTGATAAGCTGAGCAGGAATAACTGGGCTTGGTCTGTTCATATGTTCTAACCCAAACTCCTTGAATGGTTTATTTCTCTTTTTGGCTTCCACATACTCTGCCAGCAGAGCTTTGCAAACCTGCATCAAACGTGACAGGCAAAGATTTGAAAGCTCCGTAAAACCAATAGCTTGATGAACCCACACATGGGAAACACGTTTCATTTTTAACTTAACATTTTTTCTATTAATGTCAGTCGGGTCTATTGCATTAATGCCAAACAATGATCAGTTAATCATACCTGTTGCATAAGAACATAGTTATCACCCTCGAAAGTAGGCTGCGCATCATATTCACATTTCAGTTGGCCAATTCGATTTTCTGTCTTCATTCCTTGCCCGCCACAGGCTTCACGGCATTCCTTTATCATATATAATGCAATATAAGGAGGCAAGCTTATCAACGACTCAAAAAATGCTTAGCTATAATGAACGTGTCTACCTGAAGAGTTCGGAGGTTATGCCGAGTCAGAGCGGCCTTGAATGCACTGGATACAACATGGATGGTTTTCATCAATTGAGGACTCCTCTTCAAGTACAACAGTTTCAAGTAGTTACCAGCAAAGCTCATAGCATACCTGCAGCAATAAAAAACAGCTGTTTTGGTTTTACAATATTGTCAATTCTCATTGACAAAAGCATATATATATATATATATATAAAGCTAAACAGCATACAGTGCCGCCAAATATCAATATCATGCTGAAGTTGAAATAAATGATTTCCACAGGATAAAGTGAACTGTAATTGCGCATCTACCTTAATTATTAGTCATGGAAAATGAAAGAAGGATGACAAATTAGGTAAAATCTTCTCTCCCAGTAGGAAATTGCTTGAAAGATAATGCATGACATCTGTAAGTGATTGTTGACTTGTCGATAAGGAAACTGAATCTCAAATATGACAATGGGATGTAGCACGACAAAACTAGATACACATAGCTCAAATGCACGATGGAAAGCTCATACATGAAATAGTACATGTAATTTTTCACTCACGCCAATTATTCCAACTTCTGAAGCTAATGTACAAACTTACGTCTTGGCAAGAAGAGGCAAGAGGCGGCGCTGATGACTGGGGTAATCAAGCAAAAGGAGTTCAGGACCATTTGCTGTGATTGAAAATGCTCTCCTTGTCAATGCATATCTTATGGCGATTGCTAAACTAATCTGATGGCAGAAAATTAAGATCAGATATCAGTTAAGACTTGAGTAATCGTAGTTGGATATTGCACTCTCCTAAAATTATAGGAAAAATGTTAAGACAATAGTGATCACCTTCACAGAGTACACTGCACTAACTGCGATAGCTACTCGTCCAGATGTCAAAGGAGCCAGGAACGCAGCAAATCTCTGAAGATAAATCAAAGCATGTGAATTTCCACTGAATAGAAAATTAGTGTAGAATTGGTTAAAGGAACAAGCAAGAAATTGATCCATAAAAAGCTATGAATAAATTTGCTTCAACACATTTCTCAACAATCTCATGTCTTCTTTTCATTAGGTTTATCGATCATTGCCAATTAATGCTCATGGTGTAAGTAATTATCAACAGGGGAAAAAAAAATTAAAAAAAAACTGTAGCAAGACATAAAAGCATATGACCCTTGATAAAGAAAAATAATAAGGTGAACAATTGCTCAAGCATCATTAATAAAGATTAAAACAGCAATTGACTAACACAGGAAAAGGTTAAATAAAGAAGCATCATACCTGGTCTGGGTCCTTTATTGCACTCAAATATTTTCCACTGGGAGAAACATCAGCAACTGAGTTCAATATATTTTCTCTAGGAATGCGAAGATTGTCAAACCTGGCAAATATAAAATGATGAACCCATCAGATCACACTCATTTACCAGATAACGTAAAATTTATGGTTCATGTACTCACAAAAGAGAATCATCTATACCAGATTCGACCGTTGTCAACGCCATTTAAACCAATCTTATGACCACAATCAGCAATCCGAATATTGGGACAGATGTTACCATTTTCATCTCTGATCTGGGCGATAAAAGTATGGACGCCTTGATTTTTTCCGTCAATATTCAGCTGAGCGAAAATTACTGCATGTGTCGCATCCTATGAGACATTCAAGGGAGAGCATGATATTGGTAAAGTGAAAAAAAATAAATATTAAATACCAAAAATGACTGGAAATGAAATCAGTAGTTGGATTGAATGATTACGTTAGCTGCAGCACCAATCCAGTACTTTTGAGCTGATTCAGATGGAGTGTTGATTACAAACTCTCCCGTTTTTGCCTCATAAGTTGCCGTTGTTTCAATGCCTTGAACCTGTAAAAATTGACTCAAAATGTGTTGGTAAGTAAAAATAGAGGATAATTCTGTTGACAGGCCATATGCCTGATGCTAATCAATAACGTTCTATACATACATTGCTTCCATGCCCCAATTCTGTCATGGCAAAGCATCCTTTAATCAAGTAATTTTCTGTAGCACTCAACCACTTATCGTGATGTCGCTTTGTGCCAAAAAACTGGATTGCACCACCCCTGGAATCGTCAACAAGGAAGCAGTTAACTTGATACTGTTTTAAAATAACTTAAAGCACGATATAAAGAGAACTCCAATTTAACTAGTTTCAGATACGTGCTCAAAAGACGACTCAAGAAACTCAACCATCCACTTATTAAACATGAGCTCAGTTAAAAGATAGATAGAAATGGTAAAAATTATAAAATTTGCGCCACAAGAAAATAATTATACTAGTCAGGTCCTACTATTTGCTCCACCATGAAGAATTCTAAATTCAAAGTAATTCCTTTTTTTATTAAGCAAAACCCAATATTGGGATTTTTCACAAAGTCATAAATGCAAGTTATGAAAACTGTGACTGAGGCCGGGAGGCGTATGGTACAACTACAACTTCAAAAATGTAAGTACCTCAATCTGTCAAAATTGCACGTTTTCCTAATTTAAGAACTATGAAATACATTGAAAATCCCATCAAAATGACATTTATAAACCACAAAAATACCATCAAACATACCACAATAAGAAGTGCACGCCAATCTTGATAGCAAGAGCATAATCAAAAATCTCAGTAACCTCCAAAAGAGCAAACTTTCTCATCTCAGCTTCAGGTCCTTTACCTGTTAACCACCCCTTGAACACCCCACGATCCACTAAATACTCAATTCTCTTCATAGTCATCTTTCTTTGCTGCTCCATGGAGTGATTATAATCCGGCGCCACAAATACTTTGCCACCCCTTAGCCTTGGATTGAAAAGTTCACTCTGTATCATGAGATTAAAAAGCCAGTCCCTGTCACCCAAATTGTGCCCATCCATCAGTTTCCTCATTGAAGTCACGTCGAACGAAAAGGGTTGTTCGGTAACTTCCGGTGGCACGTAGCTGACGCATGGTGAGGCGGAAATTGTGGCGGTGGTTGCACGGCGGTGGTTTTGAAGGTGCCCGCTTAAAATTTGGGTTCTGAAATTAACATTTTCCATAGCGTTGAATTGCAGAAGATATATTTTTGAATTATGTCTCCAATGCTTTACGTTAAATAGTGGATCAATACGCCGGCATGGGGAGAGGGACGTAGTCAATGCACGCGCACAGAATATGTGTAGATGCACGCGAGCTACAAGAAGCCTTTTCTTCCATATTCAGTAGGGGTGGCAGCTGGCCGCCCTCGCTCCTATTCGGAATTTTTAGGAGGCGCCGCCGAAATTCTTATTTATATGTTTTGAAAAAAGAGTAGGGAC